TAAGATATCCTAAGCAGTTAACTGGCACACATTAATTTTCAGTGCTTGAAGAATCTACCTCAAAAAGAATGAAATCCACTTCTACTTTCAAAACATATTAGCTAAAATTTGAATTCACAAATTAGCTATTACCTAAGAGTAAAGCTAAATTCCAATTACTTAGATGTGGAAGTGGGAGAGCAAAGCAGCTTACTTCGGTAACAAACTAAAACCACATTTATTATAAAATAGGAATTGAAATGGTTCAAGAAAGAGCTTGTGCTTTTGGTGCCTCACTATCTGATTTCAATCTCCATCACTTATTAGTTGTGTCACTGGACAAGTAACTCTTTCTCTGGGCCTGTTACCTTATCTATAAAATTCTCACATCTATCCCACATGGTTGTTCTGAGGATTAAATGACTTACTACTACTAAAGGTTTAGAAACAGTGTCTAGTACAAAAAGACTGCATTAAGTCTTAACTACTGTTAATAACAGGCAATACTATATAGAAAACTAAATGTTATGAATGACAAAAAAGCCTAAAGGACGATATCAAAATGTAGTGGTTAAACGAGCACATACTCTGGACTAGGCTGCCTAGGTTCTGATCCCAATTGTCACAACATGAACCCAGGTCGTCTTAACCTCTCTGTGCCTTAGTTTTTGAATTTCAAGATGGAGACAACTGTACCTGCTTCCTAGGTTTGTTATAAGATTAAAGAATACATGCGTTTCAAACAGTTCTAACACAGTGCAAACACTGAAACATGAGCTATTCTTTTAGGCTTGGTTCACATGAGATTTCTATTCAAATGTCCCCAAAAACACATATACTGTAGTAGTCACTGTTTAACGGGAGCGGTAGAACTGTCTATGGCCCTTAGTACTAATCAACTTGGAGTGCTACTTTTAACTCCTGATGTTTTAATAGCCCTATTTAAGACCATATTACAGCTTGTTCAAATACAGAATACAGGGGGGAAAAAAAGTTGATTGGTCTAATAGTCAAAAACTTACGCTAAGAACACAAGCTGAAGTATAAATTCAAAGGCTTTATCAAATGGACTAAAGGTTAAAAGTAGTCCAATAATCATTTCAATGGAATGTTAATGTGGAATACAGATATGTCTTAATATTTGAAATGTGGGACCTTCAGACAAGAATAAATTCAAAATAGGTACATAACACATAGATACTATACATCAATGGCTACTTGACTGCGTACTTCTAGAAGAGGTGCTTAAACTGAAGAGCATTCCCCTTCAGAGCTGTCCACTCACTAAAATTGTTTGGATGTGGAATGTCTGAAGGTTGCCTCATGTGATTCTAAAACAGCTGAAAAACCAAACTACACGCACATGTCAAAGTTTATGTATGTTGAATCAATAATGTTCACATAAACACTGGTTTTTCCAATTTGCCAAATTATCACATTGTGTCTACATTACATAAATCTTCAAAATATTTACGAGACAACCTGGTATTAACTAAGAGTACTAAACTAGAAGTCAAAGTTATTAAACAAAAATGGTTAAGTATATATAAATTGTGATATTAAAATAGCAGTAATAACTGAGCGTCATGTGCCAAGGGACCTGTTCAAATCTGCACATTAATCCATTTAAACCTCAAAACAAATCTAGGAACTTAAAATTGTTTTGTTCACTGCTGCCACCCCAATGCCTAGAATAGTGCCTGGTACATATTAGGCACACAGCCATTTATTGTTCATACTATAACAGATACCCTTCTTACAGAGGCACACAAACTTGCCCAGAGCTAGAATTCTAATTGGAGCATTTCTACTCCAATGTTCACACTCTTAATAATTGTTACATTGCCTCTCTAAAGCTCTTAAATCATTTAAGTGGTGTCACAGCAGCTGGGTATGACCTGTAAAAGAAAAAAAATCAGTGAGACCTCCCTTTACCTGTTCTGTTCCACATGCACAAAAAGCTATGATCTGGAATTATTCCAGATCTTCATGGCCTAAACTTATTTCGATAGAAAAGATTTTCATTTGTACTGAATGTTATGTTCTTTTTGTTAAGTACCTTATAACATATAACTATGCTTCTCCAATATGTTGCTGGCCTATAAAGTGGTCACAGAAGAGGTTATTATTTCAAAATAATCCCTTTTATTTTGACCCTTAGCTCCTAAAAAGCTTCCTCTTTTCCTTCATTTCACAAAGATTTAAATTTCTATTTCGCGTAACCCAAAAAAGACGATGCAATGAAGGTCTAAAACAAAATCCAAGATTTCCTACCAATATTAAGAGTGAAGATTTAAACCTTCCTCTTTCACAAAACACCGATCTTGCCAAATAAACTTCAGTCATAATTAAATAAATGCAAATGTAGTAGTATCAGGTCTATTTTAGTAAAGCCAAGTTCTTGCCATTCCTCTCACTGAACTCTTTTTAAAAAAGTAATCTATTAAAACCAAAGTTTCTAACCCTCACCGCAGCCCCCGCCCCATTTTTCTAGTAAGGCTCAATTTATTCCATGACATTTTTTTCAAGTTAGCTGTAAATACTCCACCCTCCTCGATTGTGCAACAACCTAACACACCACACAAACACAAGTCACAAAAAAGGAAAATACAGTCAGAGTTTGAATTTAGGTAAGTTTTGAGTAGAGGGTCTCACAGCAGTGCACAACCATATATAAAAGTTAACATTTAACAAAGCATATTATTTCACATTATTATGAAAGGAGATGCCGGAAAGAGCCTGAACCAGTTAAAGCAGCCGCCATCTTAAAATGCGGGATAGAAGTTAGAGCAAGAAAACGAGACGAAACCACCGGAGGTGGAGGTTCCGCTCACTCCCAGAGCTCTGAAAAATACTAGTTTTTTTCCAACTTAAATCGACAATATACTACCAAACCACATTTCAAGTAACTAAAGAATCTTCCCCAAGCGTGTTATTAATATGATGAGGCAAAAATAGGTACATCTAGCTTTCCCTTATTGCCATCGCACCCCTTATCTACCCCCCCGCCAGCCAAAAGGAAAAGGGAGCTTCCAGAAGGCTTTTACATCAGTTCCCGGTGTGCCTCGGATAAATAGCTTCGGGTGAAAAGCTGCAACTACAAAATACAGGAAGTGGCAACACCGTGTCATTCTATCTCCTCCCAAACACACTTAACTCCGGGTACCCTGCCCAGAGTCGATGAAGAGTTTCTCCACTAAACTCATTCACTATCCTTCAATAGACAAGAGACTTCTACCCGACCCTCAGTCAAGTTCGCGACTCGCCAGATTTTTCGTCGGGGCTTTCTTTCTTTCCCCTAGAAAGCCTAGAAAACCTTGATCTCATAAAGTTAAGTTTGGGAGCTCCCAAGAATAGGAAGCTGCATGACATCTGCTGGAGCGGCTCTCCCTAATTCGGACCCCACAAGAGCTCTTAAGCAAAAAAAAAAAAAAATAGTAACAATCATATAAATAAAGGCGTTTTAAGTCATTCTCCTCCACCCCTAATCTGCACCGATTCCAATGAAGCACACTCAGGGTAACACCTCACTTGCCACAAGTGATCTCCGTTCCCTAGCTTTAAACTTCATTTCAAGAAGTATATCCGGGTTCTCCATCCCCCACCATGGAAGAAGTGATCCAAGAGGTATTTTCAGAATTATGCTTCTTTCCCACCCCCACGCTTTCCTCTGGGCCCCAGTCTTCTTTTTCTCCCACGACCCCATTTCCTTCAGTTCCCGCGGGTTACCTTATTAATCCGTTTCAGCGCCATAGTGTGTGCTTGTTGTCTGGCTCCTCACTCTCTCGGTGTGTGCTCAAAGGTCCGGCCAAAACTCTTGATTATCCCGGCGGCGGGGCAGGATTGTCTCGTCTCACACCGGCTCTGCCAGACACAGGCGCCTTTTGCAAAAACGGAGCAGATCAACACTCGCACAGGCCTCGGAGAGCCCCTGATGAATCCAGGTCCCTTAAGACGGACGCGATCCGGGGTGGGTGGGGTGGCAAAGCCACCAAAAGCCTCTATGCCGTGCTTTCTGCCCGAAGTAGGGGCGAGGGTGACGGGAAGAGCGGAGGGGGTGGCTACAAGTTTAACTTCCCGGCCTCTCGAAAGGAAGAGACCCGGGTGGGAGAGGAAGAGGCGTAGGAGAAAGGGGTGGGTGCGGGGCAGGGTCCGGAGCCCAGCAGAGGAGGAGCCGGGGCCTAGTCGGCGCTGTACCGGCGTCACTACGGCAAAGAAAGGCAAGGGGGAGGGGGAAGCAAGAGACTCAGGACGGACGCCGGACTGCTTTCGGTTTCTGCCCAAAGGTGCGGCCGGGGAGGGGAAAGAAATAAAGGAAGAGAGGTTTGATGTGTGTGGCTGTCCTGGCAGCGAGCTATTCTGTGTCGTCCCTGACGCCACCGTACACTCCGCCTTCCAGCGCGCGCCCGCCCAGCTACCTCCACCACGCGCCCGTGCTACCCCTAAGGCTCCGGCTTGGGCGCGTGGACGCGCCCATTCCCCCTCCTCCTCCAGCGGGAGAGGCCCCGGCTTCTCCAGCCTTCCCACCCTACCCCGCCGCACCCAATAGGCTGGCCGTTCAAGCCGCCCAGGGCCCGCACTGCCCCTCTTACCCGGCCGGCCAGTGGGCCGGCCTCCCTTCCCTTCCCTAGCCGTCCACACCCACGCGTACAGAGGGGCCGGGGCCTCCCTCAAGCTGCGGCCTCGGCCTCCTCCCCGTGCGGCAGCTGGTGCCTCCCCGGCCCTACGGGGCTCACGCGCACGACACAGCCACAAGATGTCCGCTCTGACGGAACTACTGCCAGCTGCCACGCTCCGCCCCTCCCCCTTCTCCTGCCTCTTCACCGCCGCGGATCAGTCCGCCAACGCCGCCGTCGCGAGCACAGGACCGATGTGAGGCTGAAGCCAGACGGCTTGCTTCCCACGTCCGGGGCTGAGCGAATACGTGCCAATCCCTTTTCCTTGTCCTCGGAACAGCACCTTCTTACTGAACAGACCGGAGATTGGACTAGGAGGGCGGGGGAGGGAGGCGGTTCATGGGCTGGGGGGCAGGGTAGACGAGTGGCGGAAACCCTTAGGCTCAGAGAAGCATCGAGAACCGGAAGGAGACCATGGGAGGAAGGTAAAACAAGCAGCCGCTGCGCGACCCAGCCCCACGCCCCTCCCCACAGCGTCTCCCAGTTTCCTCACTTGGTATTGAGGCGACGGCTCTCGCGAGAACTTCGTGGCTGACTAACCGAAGCAGTAGCTCTGCAATGACTTAAGAGCAGTTTTGGGCGCTTTTCCTCTCGGGGTCCCGCCCCCAAAATCCACAAATTCTCGCGAGACGCAGTGAGGCACCGGCTCCAACTGGGGCGGGCTACTGCCAGGAAAGCACCGCCCCTGAATGTTTCAGCCGGTGGTTGGAAGAGGAAATGGAATTCCCCGGACTGGTAAGAGCGCGCGCCGACACAGCCCTCTCTCATGCGCCCAATCAGGAGTGTGCGGTGGGAGGTGTCATGGATTAATTACCAGATACCTTTAGTCGATGTTGAGCCGGGATTTTGAGGTTTCCGGTGGAGCAGGTGAGCAGTATTTATTTGCCTGCCCTCCTGGGCTTGTTATGCTGTGGGAGGAGGCTCCCCTTAAATAGACTCAGGTTGGCGGCTCATCAGCGCTCCCACGTGCTGAAATCTAGTGCATGTCTGACCCTAAAGGAGCAACACTGAGAAGAGCAGGCCCATAGGCCAGTTCCCGGAGTTAGAGCGGCCCGAGTCAAGCTCAGCTGAGTCGGTGGGGCTAGGACAGACTGGGTTAGGGGCAGGGTGGTGGTCACGCGTCTCCGTAATCAGTCGCTGCTATCCGCCAACTGTAGAAGTGGAAACAAGCCTAACTTCTCAATACCTTTAACTTCTGTTGCTGTGTTTCAGTTACTGAGCGGGAAAGTGGAGAGACTAATTAAGAAACTAGGCAGAGTTATAGAGTCAGAAAAACCATTACGTGCGGTACTTCCTGAAAGATCCAAGTTGGGAAGTGGGGTTTACATGAATAGGATTGGCCTGTTTTAGTCAAGGGTTTAAAGTATGGAGAGGGCATTACGCTCTGTAGTGTATTCTTTAGGCAAAAGAAAGACCTTAATTTTGGGTGGGTAAGCACTGACCAGCTTAAGGTTTTCTAACATTCCTTAATGACCCCAGTTACTGAAGTGGAGATCTTCAATTACATGGAAAAAATAAACTTGTTTTAACAATACACTTAATTTGAAAACTTGGAGGAAGTTTTACCTAATAAAAACAGATCAACAATGATGAATATAAGTGGTCTAATATATACTGTTCAAGTGACCGTGTAGTGTCACTAGAGCAATTAGTGAAGCAGTGCTTCTCAAACTAGTGTCCATAGGAACCACCTGGGGTTTTGTTGAAAATGCGACTTTTATTTGGTAGGGCAGAGGCTGAAGCCAGAAATCCTACATTTCTAACTAACTCCCAGGTGATAGACATTTTGCTAGTCTGAAGCACCCGGTGAGTAGCAAAGCACTGAAGTTCTCACCTCATGGCCTAACTGCTCATGAGGCTCACCTCATAAACACCTCTGGCCCCTCCCTCCTCCCTAAATAATCTGTGTTGTTTCTCCTAGCTAGCCAAATATAGTAGAAGCACAGAAGATTAGGCATGAAGGTGGAGGAAGGAACCCGGGTTTGTAATTGCGTCCCATTTGTTTGCTATTGGCCTGTTTAGTTATCTTGACTCCATTTCTTCACTGCTAAAGAATAACTGCCCTTTCTCATAGGGTGATTGTGTAGTTTAAGTGTCATAATGTATGTGAAAGGACACTGTATACCCTACAATGCTATATAAATGTAAGTTACTAAAGTAACGAGTCAGACATTAACTGGCTATAGTATGAAACAAATGTATAGCATAGTGGCCTGGTACCGTGGCTCACGCCTGTAATCCCAGCATTTTGAGATGCCCAGGCAGGTGGATCATTTGAGGTCAGGAGTCTGAGACCAGCCTGGCCAACATGGTGAAACCCCATCTGTACTAAAAATACAAAAATTAGCTGGCTGTGGTGGCCGGCCCCTGTAATCCCAGCTGCTTCGGAGTCTGGGAGGTGGAGGTTGTGGTGAGCCAAGATCAGACCACTGCACTCGAGTCTGGGCGACAGAGTGAGACCCTGTCCACCCCCCAAAAAACTCCTAATATATATGGAGTTCTAGATTATCCATGCTTATAAAGGCAAGTGATTGTGTAATCACAAGTTCATTTGTGTTAGGCACTTAATTCCTTAGTTGATTAGGCTTTCTGCTTATACTTGTTTGTATTAGTGGACTTACATTTCTGCTCATATTTTGCCATGGTTAAAATCAAAAGGCACATAGCCTAGAGGCATTTTGATGCCTTTGGATAAAGCAGACCAAGTAAGTCAAATTTTTAAACATTATTCATATACCTATGATTACAGAGAGCCCACTGTACAGTTGCAAATAAAGTTAAAACATACTCATTTTACTTGAATTACAATGGTAGAAATGTTCTCATTTGAAACAAGAAAGGAAAATAATCATGTTTTTTATATTGCAATCGGAGATATGCTAAAAAGTTTCTGGCTGTAAATACTGAGAGAAAAATTTACATTTAGAAATTAATAAAGGTACAAAAATGTTGACAATATGATTAAAAATAATCCCTTACTTAATAAATATTATTTTGAAGTCCTGAAAAGGTTAAAAAAAAATTAGGCTGGGCTGGTGGATCACCCTATAATCCTAGCACTTTGGGAGGCCAACATGGGAGGATCACTTGAGCCCAGGAGTTTGAGACCAGCCTGGACAACACAGGATGACCCCATCTCTACAAAAATAAAAAATATTAGCCACGCATGGTGGTACACAACTATGTTCTCAGCTACTTGGGAGGCTGAGGTGGGAGGATTGCCTGAGCCTGGGAGGTTGAGGCTGCAGTGAGCTGTGATTGTGACACTACACTCAAGCCTAGGTGACCAAGCAAGACCCTGTCTCAGAGAAAATTACTAGTAAATGGGCATTTGATCTACTAATGTGAATAATGGTGAGCCTAGAAGGTCAAGGCTGCAGTGAGCCATGATCACACCATTGCACTCTAGCCTAGGTGACAGAGTGAGACCCTGTTTCCAAAAAAAAAAAAAAAAAATTATAGAAGACAATAAAATGTGATATTCTAATAAAATAACTTGAAATGTAATAGTATGAACTTATGTTCTTAGCTCTTAAAGAACTATGAAACTAAAGTTGACATAACAGTGGAAACGTGCTGCATGTTTTGGTTTTTGCAAATTAAATCTCTTGAAATACAAAATAGGGTAACTGCCAATTTCATTTCTTTTAAATTTGGCCACGTCTGTACTAACTGCTGTGATCCATGTCTTAGTTCCTTACCACTTTACTAGAACCTCTGGGAGACCTTTGTTCATTCTTTGACTGATATCATTTGGCTTTCATGTGGCCAGAAAAAAGAATTTATTGTCTATTTCTGGTCTATTTCTGTTCTATCTGCCTAAGATGTATTTACATATGATTATAAGCAGGGGGCTAGAAGGGAAACCATGGGTAAAGGGTATTTGATCCTGGTTTCTCTCCTACCACTACTTCAGCTCCCAACTCCTACCTAACTAATGAGATCCAATAGAAAAGTCACAAGATTGAGGGCCAGGTGTGGTGGTGCACAGCTGGAATTCCAGCATTTTAGGAGGCCATGCTTAAATCCAGGAGTCAGAGACCATCTTGGGCAACATGGCAAAACTCTGTCTGTACAGAATATAAACAATTAGCATGGCATGGTGGTGGGACAGTAGTCCCAGATACAAGGGAGGCTGGGGTGGTAGGATCACTTGAGCCCAGGAGGTCAAGGCTGCAGTGAGCTGTGATCAAGCCATTGCCTACCAGCCTGGATGACAGAGCAAGACCGTGTCTCCAAAAAAAAGGAAGGTTCAACTATTTTTTTTGTCTTGTCTTTGTGTGTTTTGAGACAGGGTCTCTCCATTACCCAGGTTGGAGTGCAGTGGCACCGTGCTGGCTCACTGAAGCCTCTGCCTCCAGGGATTAAGCAATCCTCCTTCCTCAGCCTCCTGAGTAGCTGGGACTACAGACATACACCACCAGGCCCGGCTAATGTTTTTAACTTGCCCACTCAGATTCTTTCTCCCTTTCCATCCATCTCCAATCCCCACTCCCTCAGGATACCCTAATGGTTCTGTGGGTATCCTTAGTGTTCACTTATCACAGTCTGAAGAACCAACAGTCTAATGAATATAAACAAATTATAATGAGGAAGCCTCATTCTGAGTAACAGTAAAGTGTAAAACAAATAGCCCTCCAGATCTGTGAGTTCCATATTCATGGATTCAACCAACCACGGATCAAAAATACATATTTTTAATTGCATATTTTCTGAACATCTATACTTTCTTGTTATTAAAAAAATACAGTATATTTACAGAGTGTTTATATTGTACTATTATAAGCAATCTAAGGAAGATGTGCATAAGTTATTTGCAAATATGGCATTTTATATCATGGATTTGAGCATCCTTGGATTTTGGTATCTTAGGGTGGTTCTGGAAACAATCCCTCAGGAATACTGGAGATTGACTATAATATGAAATATATCAGGGACATATAAAGACAGGCACTCAGAGGAAGAGAATCTGGTTTACCAGCATACATGTACTAAAAACAGAATTTTAGTTGCCTGACATCTCAGTGTAAGCCAGATAGGTGCTTGTTGGCTGCCCAAAGAACCTATTTCAGTTTAACCCTCAAAGAATGGGTCCATGTTGTCTAGCATAAAGCAGTTACCTTTCTTCATCTTTACCAGTCAGACCACAGGTACATTGTTTTTTTAACAGCTTTATTGAAATATAATTGACATACAATAAGTTATACATACCTAAATAAACAATCTGATAAGCTGACATATGTATATACTCATGAAACTCACCAAAATCAAGATAATGAACTTCACTACAAGTTTCCTTGTACTCTTTTATAAATCCTTTCTCTTGGTTTTCATCCACCCCTCTCTCTTCTTATCCATAGGAAACCTCTGATCTGTTTTCTGTCACTGTGGATTTGTTTGCATTTTTACGGTCCCATCGGCTATGGATGAGTGTTCCAATTTCTCCTAACTTGTTAGGGTTAATCTTTTCAATTTTAGCCATTGTAATAGGTGTGTAGTGGTATTTCATCATCATTTTAATTTGCATTCTCCTAGTGACTAATGATACTGAGCATCTTTTCATGTGCTGCTTTGTCATCCACATATCTTCTTTGCTGAAATGTCTGTATTTCTCCCCATTGTTTATTGTATTATTTTTGTCGGTATTTACAGGTGACACATATTAGAGTAGCCTTAAATTTTTTAACTAATAAAATCATAACAAGGTAACATATAGCTGAAGGAATATGAAAAAG